GCTGAACGGCTCCTGGTGGGCGTATTTCTACCTTGATGGTGCGCCGCGACCGGCTCTGGGTCAGCTGGGAAAGGCTTGAGGTGGAGCAGGCTCACGGCTTATGTGTTTGTCACTTTCTTTTTCATTTTAACCCACACCATGATCTTTTCCTGACCCTAACCAAGTGGTTTTTGTGCCTAAACCTAACCAGACCTTAACCACAGGGCATCATGATGATTTCGGAACGGACTTCGGAACAATGGGTTTAATATGGTTGGGACAATGGGCTGTCGGACCAATGGGCAGTTCCCGTGTGGCTTGTGTGTGTGTGTGTGTGTGTGTGTGGAGCTGTGTATGTGTGTAGTTGATGTAGGAGGTATGAGACGTTAGTGCGCCGGGTGTGGTGTGTGACGTCAGATGGATGCGCCCAGGAAGAAAGTGAGGCATGTGCTATGTTGTTTACATCGAGCAGCCACAGTGACGAAGTCCCGTTGTTTATGTGTTGTTGCCACAACGAGCTAACACAAGCTAAAGGAGCTAATGGTCTTCGGAGGTCCTTTTACTACGGTTCAGGGGTCTGCCAGCCTGGCGTTGGTAACACTTATTCATCTTATTTACACAACGGCATGTCATTTATGTCCCTACACGGTGCGCGTCTAAAATCCTCCTCTGCTCTCTGTGTCACGCACAGCAGAGTTCGGCCCTGATGCGCGCGCACACACACACACACACACACACAGGTGAGCACACAAACACAGACACAGGTGTGTACACAAAAGCCATGCCATGGGGAGGGGTGAGCCCATTCTGAACTACCGGAGACCAGCGTGGAGCGGCGGTGGCGGATTTTAAATAGAAACTCAATTTTCATTAAAACAAATCGGCCTAAACTGCAAATTCGAATTAATCGATAAAATCGATTTATCGCCCAGCCCTAGGAAATGGCATGTTTTGTAACAGACACTAGCTTTGACAGTGAGTCTCATGGGTTACACAGGAGCTGAATTTTGTTAGGTTACCTTTGCTTCATGTGAGTAGAGGAAAAGACCGCTAGCAGCTAGGCTAATTTATGCAATGTAAAATGTAACACGCTTATGCTGATAATGTTAGCATGATGTCTTTTTGGGGGGGAACATGTCTAACGAAAGATGGTTGTTTCGTCTGTGAAGCTGAACCTTGTTAGTTAAAATGGAGTTGAATTTTGTTCTTTTGTTTAATATTGTCACTATTGTCACTATCAAGCCATGTTTTAGGTGTGTTAATTGAATCAATCAAATTTTACTGCACTTCACACAATTGAAGTCCAAAATTAACACCCACCAGGCACCAAATGTATGTAAATTTTCCATTAGGCGAGTAAATCTTGTTAAACTTTGTTTAAAATTGTATCGTTTAGACCATAACCAGAGATTTTGTCCGAGTAGTTTTACTATAAACGATAGTATTTATGAGGTATCACAACACACAGTTGCCAGTTTAAAAATGGATTGATAAACAAATAATGTACCAAACTAACTTTTGCACCAATAAGCTGTTTTACATACAGTTTATACTCCATGGAGTGAGTAAGTGCTTCACTGTCACATTAACAAACATGTGACTGCACTGTTAGAATTCAGTTTATTACTGAGCAGTATCATTATTCAGATGCTTAGAGTGTGGTGTTTTAGGTCTGTCTCTATGCTCAGATTTTAGTGTGTGTGATGCTCTCACCTGGTGTGTGAATCTACTGTACTAAACCTGACTGCCAGCACTGTTGCATAACAGCTAAAATATTATGTAATCTGCTTAAATTAAGTTCACCTTTCAAAGGTGGGACTTCATCTGATTTTCAGCCAGAGTTTTTGAGGAGGACCCTTCAGTCTGTGGAGGATAGGACGGTCGTTCAGTTGTTCTTGCCAAAGGAAGCAGACAGATGCCAAGGTGGCCTATACTGTATGCATGAGCCAGCTCTTCTTATCAGTCACATTATCAGCATTCAAAGGCGTCCACAAATAGCTGGTTGGCAAATATTGTTTTTCTTCTGCTTTTTTTAAAGCTTCAAGTTGGGTTCATACAAAGTGCGTCTGCGAATAGACAAACAACATTCTGAATACATTCACAGGAGAAATGGAAATATCACTGAAGCACTCGTATTCTGCAGGGCCTCAGGGTGTGATGTAGGTGCATACAGTCTGAGGCTCTTTGTATGCACATCGCAGAGCCTGAGCCATGTGCCAGGCCAGCTTGTGTTTGTGGGGGTCGCCGTGGCCGGGCTGAGGCTGCAGGATCCCCCGGGGGCTGAGAGGAAGCAGCGACTTCACAGTGGATCATCTTCAGCTGACTGTGCAGCGACCGGCCTGTCGAGCCAGCAAAGCCACACTTCCTCGTCCCAGCTGTCAGCAGAGGGACTGTGGGTGTGTGACACCAAAGCACCTGCACCCTGGATGTGACTGCGGTCAGTGGAAATCATCCAACAACATGGGGGAAGTGTCAAGTGATCAATAACAAGGCTGCTAAAAAGAGACAGGTTGTGATTGTGTGGATCTTCACCTCTGTGTGGAGCATCAGAGATGGGTTCATGCATTCACACACAACTGTCAGTTTTTACCATTGACACACAACATGACGGATGATTAATATCATAGTAAACAACACAGTGTCTTGTGATGTTTTGATTTCAACTAGATGTTGGCAGGCAGTTTGGGTGCCTGAAGAAACACGGTTTGCTTCACTTTGGCAGTACTTTGGTTCAGTGCTAAACTTCTCTGTAATAAACTAGATAAAGGGAATAAAAAATAATTATAGTAAGTATTTTTTAAACCTGTATGTTATTTTTATTAGACCTACAGATGTTGAACTGCATTTTTAGACCTGCAGCGTTTATATGTTGCTGTGATGTTTTGTTTGCTATCTTTTGTTGCTTTAAAATATCTACCTGAAATGCTTTGTTTTGCATGAAATACTTGAATGTCAGTGTAAAGCTTCTTTGTGTCATAGCATGTTTTCATTTAAAATTAGGAACACTTACAGCTGAAACCAGACGTCAGTATGACATCAGAAAGATGTTGGACTCATGCTGGAAGGATGTTAAATTGGGTCCATGTCATTGGTCCGACAGCCCATTAATCCGACTGTCCGCGGTGCTGAACGGCTCGCGGCGGGCGTATGGTGCGCCGCGACCGGCTCTGGGTCAGCTGGGAAATGCTTAAGGCAGAGCAGGCTCACGGCTTATGTGTTTGTCACTTTCTTTTTCATTTTAACCCACACCATGATCCTTTCCTGACCCTAACCAAGTGGTTTTTGTGCCTAAACCTAACCAGACCTTAACCACAGGACATCATGATGATTTCAGAATGGACTTCGGAACAATGGGTTTAATATGGTCAGAACAAAGGGATGTCGGACCAATGGGCTGTCGGACCAATGGGCAGTTCCCGTTAAATTTTGGTTAGAATGAAAATCGGGTTGACGATATTTAAATGTAAAATGCTATGGACTTGTGCTATTAACGTTAGCATGATGTATTTGTTTGGAAATGTGTTTAGTACGGTACAGTTGTTTTGTCAGTGAACCTTGTGAGTTGGAATAGAGCAAAATTATGTACTGTTACCTTTGTTAAATGTTGCTGTTGTCCCTGGTTTAATATGAGAACAGAAAAAAGGTCACTAGCTGCTAGGCTAATTTATACATTGTAAAATGCCATAGGCTTGTGCTAATAACATTAGCATGTCATATTTGTGGGGAAAATGTGTCCAGATAAAGACAAATGTTTGTCTGTGAATGCTGCGAGTTATAGTGAAGCCAATTTGTGTACTTGTCTTTGAAATTGTCTCTATTAAGCCATGTTTACTGTGTGTTTTGAATCAACTAAACTTTACAGCACTTCATAGGAACCTCCACTGCTGACTAGCATTTTGGAGGTGTAACTGCAGAGTGACACAGACACACCACTGCACGAGTATAAATGCTTACATCGGTGGAGGCCATGTGCACAGGCTATGGTGTAGGGTCTGCCGCACAACTATAAATCCCGCTTCAGTGTTGTTATTTTACATCAAATTGCTGCTGGCATTAGATGTTGCCCTGACATTTAATTTTGGTCATCCTAAATTCAACCACATATCAACATCTAACGACGTTGGTGGGTGAATTTTCCAAAAATGTACCAAACTTTTGTAAATGTCTAAAATTTCTGAAGCACATTTCAACAAAAAATTCAAACATAGGTTCCTATATTCAAGCACTGTAATCCATGTCCTCCATCAGTGCATTGATGTCATTGACATAAATTACATATTTTTGAAACATGACAAATTCTCACGTGCATGGGGTCCTGGTGTTAGTTTGGGGTTAGGAAATAACGTGAGGTTTAGAACTGTAGTTGGTAACTTAAAAAAAATTGTTCGTCATATTTGCTAAAACTGTCACTATATTCACACAAAAGAAAATGAGACAGATAATCCGGAAAAAAATCAGGTTCAGACAACCAATCAGAGCTGAAGAGGAACTAAGACCATGTTTCCACCAAGCAGTCCAATTCAGTTCAGTTTGGTACAAATTATTTCCATTTCAATCGTGAAAAGCTGTGGATGGTACCAATAAAACCAACATGGTGGTCGCAAACTCTCTCAGTTTACCGCCAAACAGTACACTAAAATATGTTTCTGAATACATGAGTAATGGGCAATGCAGTGACAGAATCTTGATTCATATTTGATCAGCGTTGCCTAGTTTGACAGTTGGACTACAGTTAACAGAGCGATTGACACGAATGACAGCTGTGTTACTCCTCATCTCTGATTGGTTGTTTTCCTTTAGCTGCGGTCAATTCTACCAAATTATTTTTTTTTACAGACTATGATGAAACTATGATGAACTATGATAAAAAGTTATTTTCATAAAAGTTACCAACTACAGCTGTAAGGTAAGAGGAATAGAAAGGTATTTATTGGAGAAAGCAAAGTTCAGAGGTTGCAGGAATAAACTTCTGATCAAGTATAATAATACAAAAAATGTGTGTTTGTCTTTTTCTCTTTCAGTATAAGAAAAGTCCATTTCCCAGTGAAGGTTTGCCCTTCAGCTGTGCAGCTTCATATGCGGGGAAAACCAAAGAGCGTCACTGTAGAAACCAAGCCAGGCCAGACCAACGTAGATTTTAAGAAGAGCCGAGATGGTTTCATCCTGCTCATCCCCACTAATTAACAGTTGTCCGACTCAAACACCGACAGCTTGACCTCAGGACCTGAGTGCTCTGCCTTTTGGGAACTTGTCTCTTAATTTTGCCTTGAAAAACAGTTGTTTATTGTTAAAGATTGTTGAAATATTTTCACAAAGGTTTTTAAGTGTTAAGAGCGGATACTGCTTTCTGAATCCTGAGCTGCAGGAGGACGATGTTTACTAGACAATTACGAAAGTATTGAATAGAGAAGTTAGGAGATAATTTTGTTGTTGGATAGACTCAGGACACAACTGCCAAACACACATCTATGAGTCTGTCTTTGCTTTTGATGTTACATAAAATACTGAGGATTTTTGAAGATATTTTTTAAAGACAAGATGGAACAAAAACAGAAGTAAATGCACTTTTTGAATGACAAATTGCACATCATAATGCACCAAAACAACCAAGAGAAAATATCCCAGATATATTTTTGTATACTGAGTTGAATTGTAATGAAATAAGAACTATTTTTTGTGCTGTTGCCTCAAAAGGCAGACTGTGGCAATTATTCCATGTCAGAAGTAATAAAGAGGAAAACGAGAAACAAGAAGAAAGAAAATAAATTATTCAAGATTTACTTAAGTGAGCTCTCTGTGTGTTAATTTCTCCCTAATGCTTTGCCACATGAATAGACAGTGTGCTGTAGTCAAGTCGACATTATACAATGATTAAAATGTGTTTCTCAAATGTGGTCTGGGGATTTAATGGAAGACTGAAGAAGTAAGAATATGAATGAGAGAGGTCAGGAGCCTGTCAGTGTTGCTCTGTGATTGAGAGGATTTCCTGTACAAATACAGTCAATTTACAGCATCAGTTAATGTCCTGGTGTTTGTTTTTTACACTTCTCCACCCTGCAGGAAGAGATGTTCAAACAGCAGTAGAGAAAACTGGACTCAGTGACGTGAGGGCTGTTTCCTCTCTTGTCCCTTCGGTGTCCTCTGGATCAGATCAACTGGGTTGATAAACACACAAACACAACGACTCTGCAGACATCATCTTACAGGAGTTCAAAACATCTGATGTGCAAAGATGTTCAGTGCAAATAGATTGTCAGAGAAATGTCACAAAACCATCACATTTTCTTACATATCCATCGTGCTGTGCAGCGTGCAGATAGATATGTTTTTCATTATTTTCTCATGTTTTGAGACACCTGTCTGGGAAATTATATTTAGACTAGACATGTCCAGTTTTAATTCTCCTCTGCTGGAATGCTTTGTCACACTTCTCAGCGGCTTTCAGCTAACTTCAGTGTAAACCCATCCATGATAATCCTGGATGCTGAGAGCAACTGACAGAGTACAAGGAGCAAGAAAGTCCATGTAGGCGAGGAGGTAGGGAGGGGAGGGTCAAACAAACCGGACTTTCACCCAGGAGACCACAGTTCGTGTCCTGTGTGGTCCCGAAAAGCTTGACAGGTCGCATCAGGTTCGGGCCAAATATGTGTGCTGGGTCAGTTAGGGCTCGGGCTGTGGTCCCCCCCATTTTTTTTAAATAAATGAATTACAAATACGAACTTTTATTTATAACAAATATTAAAAACAAAGTGCTCTGTGAGCAGCTCTGTCTCAGCTGAGGGGGCAGCTAGGCTCAGTGCTGGGCTCTCTGTTCTTCCTCCTGGTTGGAGCAGGAAGCTTCGCTGGCAAGGAAGTACAGTGTGGAGAGTAGATGATCCACCAAAACTGGTCCATTGTCTGCTGTAGATACGCTGGAGCCGATGTGTCCCGTGCATGAGGAGCTAAGTAGTGCTTTCTGGGGGGATTGGGAGTTGTCGGGCTCGGGCCTGATGATCTCTGACGGCCTGGGTTTGGGCTTCAACTCACAAGGTCAGTTTGGTTCAGGTTGTAATTTGGCACATTGAGAACTCTACATAATGTCGCTCAGTTTATGTAACAGTGTGTTAACACAACAAACTTTTAACCCAAACATGTTTTTTTCTAAACAAATAAGTAACCATTTGACAACATTAAGCATGTTACAATGTGATTCAGCCTTGCATCACATAAAACACTAACGAGCACCCTGTGGATCACTGCGAGGAAAATAATAACATAATTCATGAGTAGAACTTGTCTTCTTCCTGGTTCTTACATTACCCACAATGCATCTCAAGCACCAATAGTTCTGTCAGAGATTCAGGTGGTATATTCTAGTAGTGGCAAAGCCTCCAGCAGAGAAGAGGAGCAGGCTATGTCATGGTCTGTCCTGCTTTTTGCTCCTGATGTCACGTTTTGCCTTCGTTTGATTGAGTTATTCATTCATGCTCGGTGTTTTCTGTTTTATGTTGTGACTGTGTGCCCCACCCTGATGTGTTTCACCTGTCCCTCATTATCACCCTCCTTCCCTTGTGTATTTAGTGTGTGTGGTTTCCCTCTGTCAGCTGTGAGTTTGTATGGTCCAAATACCTTGTCTGTGTTCCTTGTATCATTCTGGTTTGTTCTCCATTTAGTCTATGTGTTTTTAGATTTGTACTTTGATTCCTTCCTTAGTTTTTATTGCTTGCCTGTTTGTTGTCAAGTACATTTCTTTGTTCCTTTAACCTGCCGGCCTAGTGTTTTGCTTTTGGGTCCTTCTTTGAATTGGAGGACTGCATTGGTATTGGCGTCCCATGGGAACCAACACGTCTCACTGGGGCGGACAGTCAAAATATAAACTGAGGGTCCCAATACAACAAGTCTGTCTCTTTACCGGCCCATTCTATGACAGATTATAAAAGAAATAACAATAACCATTTTCTGGAGAATGTGATAGACATTTGTATTTGTGCAGTTGCAATAATACATACGTTATCACATTAAACCCCCACCAACCATAACTGACTGTTGTATGTTGTACATATGTGAATCGACCCTTACCAAGCCGCCTGGGTTAAGGGAGCAGACGCAAACAGTGGGAACGGTTGGCAATGGTCAGAACTCCACCAGGAGCAGGCCAGGAGCGGGATTAATAAACAGTGCTGCACAGGACTTTACTTTGAACTAAGGTCATTTCAAAGTGATAGTAGTCTAGTCAATAGTCTTTTTTTTGTTTTAACTCATCATTATGAAGCAAATGTTGACTGACTAATGCAATGGCTGTAGAATGATGACAATTGGTTCCTTGCTTTCACAATTCCATCTACCACTGGGTACAATCTCTCTGGAAACTAAAGGCTCGAATTACAACGCAAAGGAAATGCATCAACTATTGTAACAGGTAGAGGATAGCACTTTGTTTTCCACTGTAGCTTTTATTAGCTATCCCTGGTTACTAAAGAGTGTGGAAAATCTTCCCGCTGTTGAAGTTTGCAGTGATGCAGGTGGAGTGTTTACTGTGGTAAAATGAAGGGATCAGGGAACACAGACTGATGCTTCAGTCAAGTTCTTCTTTATTGAGCAGGCCTGGAGAGAGTATTCTGGCATGCACACAACAGCACAGAAGAGTCTTTAACTTATATTAAAGCAGAGCGCCTTCAACAAACAAGACCTCCGTTACATCAACTCTTGCACTGGTCTTGTCTGGAGCATCAGATGCAAAATAGCAGGTGACCTATAGATGATCCGCCACATAAAAAATGAAATCAACACATAGAATGATCGATTATCATGTTTCACAAATGTCTTCTCTTGCTAACTGCTAGAGGGCAGTCACTATGAGGACGCTACATACACACTAATACAAATCATTGTTTAAAATGTGACAGCTGTTTAACCCTTTGAAACCTGGAGCGACGTTACTTTTCTTGTGCTGCTTTCAGACGCCTTTCACAAGTATTTGAACCTTTGAACTCTGAGCAAATTAGTGCACCTTCTTTCAAAAACATGGAGGAAAAAAAGGAATTGAGCACCTTGGTAAGAAATGTCCCACAAATTGCAAGAAATTGAAAGAATTGAAAAGAATTGAAATTGGAATGAAAATTGAATTGAAAATTATTTTAAAAATGCTAGGGCAAAATTACATTTATAATTATCATTATTATATATTTTAAATCATGTTACAGAATTTAAAAAATCTCAGGTCTTTTTATTTATTTATTTTTAACTAATTTTCTTGTTTTTAATTTCTTTCTTTCTTTTTTTTTTCTTTTTTTTACAAATTCCTTGCAATTTTTTGTGGTCATTTCCTCGTTGGTTGCTCATTGCCTTCTTCCCATGTTTTTGAAAGAAACCAAGCCAATTTGCGCAGGTTTCAAAGGGTTAATCTGATAACAGCATACTGCTAGTTTGAATTTCATTCACTAGTCTCGATCAACATTTTCTACAAGAGCATCATAAGTTTTTTGCAGTTGTTTAGTCCCCAGCAGTGGAAATGGTGGACGGTGGAGCAATCAAAGTAACTATGGAAAACAAAATGCAGTGTGTCCTGTGTTAATAGTTGCTAGGCTCTGAGGAAAACAGAAAGCGATGCGGTCATCTTTGCATCAGCGGCACCAACAATAATACCTCTTGGAAACGCTAGGGGGGAAAAGTTGTCTGTTTCCACTTTAGATACAGACAATAGCATCCGCTGTTATAGTATGTTGGTGAATCCTTTGTCAAATGGTGGATGTTTTTCCTGTCTGAAAACTTAATTCTGTCGTCACTGCCAGTTTCCATCACATCACCACACTGACCTGTTAGTGAGACTGTGATTCCCCATACCTCTGTGAATGTGTGTGCATGATGAGTCTGTTTATTTTTGGTGTGTGTGATTTGCATAATGTGGAGACAGAGTGTACTGTATTGTATCTGTATAATTTACACCACACTCAGCTACATCTCCCGAACTCTGAGACACTGCTGTGTTTTTGTACAGTGCATTCACACCTGTGAGCATCACTTTAACACTTCTGATCAGCGCTGCGTCTTTTCAATCAACACCCTGCCACTTAAAATAACTGTAACTGCAAAAACAAATGTACATCATGTTATTAGATATAAATTTGTCGGTCCCTCTGTGCTGCGGTCTGTATTTTCTGTCTGCATTTACACAAATATGTCTCTGTCAGGTGCTTACGAGCCTGTTAAAATCATGTTTCAGGACACTGAACACTGGCTCAGCTTTGTCTGTTTAAAATAAATGCACAATGTCAGCACTTAATGCCGGATCACTTGATTTGTAGCACTAACTGTGTCCCTCAAATGACTATAATGTAAGTTACATTGCAGTTATTGCAACAGAGGAAATGTCTTCATGCTCCTAGTTTACCAGTTGACAAATACGACCTTCAACATTGTTTAAGTACATGTAGATAAATTTATTTAAATGGCTTAAACAATAACTTGAATACCACCATAAATATGTGTATACAAACAAAAACCATCTGTTAACATGGAGAAACGGCTATTTTGATTTTTGGCATAGCAGAATTTTTAATTTCTTTGTTTTTGAACTAATGTCCCTAAGATTTAATTTGTAAAGGTCATTTGGAGTTTTTAAGAGTTAAAACCAGCTAAATGCATTCTTTAAACTGATGCCAATTTTAGGAGTTTTCATGTATTAGGTATGTTTGATTTGTACATTGCCCGAGTATGATTGCACCTCCTCTCCACTCCCCCATCGGTCAGTGTTCATTCAAGTACACTTGCATTGTCATTGGGGTGACATCTGTTTACTACAGTGTAAAAAAATAAGTGCGCAAATCACAAGATCCCAAGCCCATACAATGGAGTCCACCTTGACATTACACTATCAACCCTCTCATCCAGAGTTGGACTGGAAACAAATTTCAGTCCTAGCAATTTTTGTCTGTACTGACCCCCAGTGTGATTTTTAGGGGAGTCGGGGGGCTCAGATGTGTTTACTGTTCCTCCTTTTTGCCTTTTCTGTCCTTTCTTATCCATGACGACTATTGG